CAAGACAGACGTTCAGTTTCAAAGTCTTCTGTACTGAGTATAAAGAACAAGACTCGGACTTTCAACACAGCTGTTGAGTCAGTCAGTCAGTTCTTTTATATCTCTCAGAAACTTGACCAGCGTGTCACGAAAAGCATTTTTAACAGACATCAAACTTCATTAGCTCCGTACACTGAGATTCAGAAGACTAGAAACAGTCAGCAACACAAGAAGAGTGACCTAATCAACAACCAGTCGGTCAATAAATGTGCCGGAAAAAAAATAAAGATTGATCGAACAGACACTCTGCCAGGCCAACGACTCTAGTGGAACCTGAATAGAGGAAACGATGAGTTGATGAGCATGGGTCCCTGAGGTGTTGACATGGAGGAGGAGATCGTGTGAGCAAAAGATGTCTATGGACAATTGTGCGTCCAGCGGATGAGGACTGCGGAGAACATTAAAAAGACTGGAATGTATTGTTGAAGCCTTATGTTCCACTCGGAACCGAGAGAAACTGAAACTGATCAGTTTCGATTGTTTCCCAAGTAAACAATCAGTTCCCTTGATAACTTTGAATACAAACAATAAGAGAACAACTTTTTACAGGAGATAAGATGAAATTCCTTTTTGTTATGGTTTCATATGGATTTTTTTTATCACCTGTATACAACGTGTATGCATATTGGTAAGGAATATAGAATTTGAACACACTTTATCTGTGAATAGTCAGATCATTCCCTATTAGAATAGAGAATGGAGGTACAAGTTATGCAAGAAGCCGGAATAATCGATTATAACCAAAATTGAGACGTTATTTATTGTAAATGCAAGTGTCTGTGAATGGTCTACAAGCTTGCCTTGTAACTGGAAGGTCCTAGGTTCGAACCCCACTGTGGTGTGGGTGCGCACTGCTGATGATGCCCAAACTAGGATTGAACAGCTATTCAGTAACTCCCCTTGTTGGTTTTCAATGCTGGTTCTCTAACTGCTATCAATCCATCGTCAAACTTGTATAAAGCAAATCTAATCCTTACAAATCACCTCTTCAGAAAAAACAGATGAATTTTCTCTGTTAACTAAAGGCTAATATTCATGCATAAGTAGCAATGGTTCCCTTAATTCAATATTGAGGCATGGTGGATTTGTAGGGGGCTTAGTTAGTTATCGGCTACTCGTAGAATTGCGATCCTGCTCGACTGGCGTGTTGTGGTTGAGTGGCATTGAATGGAACTAGGATAACACTTTCTTGTTTGTAAATTACTTATCAAAGAGTATTTTATCTCTTTCATTCACCATATTTACAGATGATACTGGCATCTTAATTTATAATGAAAGTTTACTGCATATTCTGGCTAGTTGTTGTTTTTGATCATTAGTGCTTGCGTTCTATCTACTGTGTTAAGTGGCATAAATGGGGTGAAAATTATTATTGACGTTAGGCATCAGCTGACTGCTAGGTAAAGAGGGAAAATCAATCCACCAGGTTGTAAAATTTCATCGATTCAAATGGCTAGGATATGTGTTACGCATGACTAGCCATCACTATCCTCGACAGTAGGCAGTGTTAGCTGACTGACTGACACAGGATGGATCAGGTTGGAAAAGAGAAAGCTAGTGGTGGTCAGATGAAAGCATGGCTTCATCAGTCAATGAAATCTATAACAGTTATTTTAAGCCAAGTAAGAAGGTGTAGACTTCGTGGATAGGACGGTAGAAACCAATAACGGCTGGAGACACTTGATGACGTGGCTCAAAATCGTTCCTAATGCCTGGTGTAGATGCATCATCCACTCTTCGTGATTTATTTGTTATATCCAATAAAACTCTTTTGTTCTTCCATTGTTCTTAGTATTCTTCTTCCCTCACTGACAATTCTGTTTACTATCTCTTTCTTCCGAGTCTCTGTTTACCCTCTTCTCTTGTTTTGTGTGTGCTACATGAAGGGAGTGTGGGGCAACTCGACGAACTCCTGCACATGTGTGCAAAGTTCTATGTTAAAACCAATCAGTATATGCCGTCATTTCTATGCTGTATTCTGCTGAGCAAAATCACAGTATATAACTGACAGTGTCATTCTTTCTCTTTGTTTGTGTGTTGATGAACGAGTTTAATTCACTCAATTAATAGTAGTCAATCAAATTTAATTTGTTAATTAAGCTTTAGGTTAAATGATACTTGACAATTCAACTGTACTACTGATATCATTCTATTCAATATTCATTTAATTATTTTTTTTTCAGTATGAATATTAAAGCTGTATCATTTTCAACATTTCGATTGTAAATCGTTGAACAATCGTGTATTCTGTAAGGAAAAATCAAACCAATTACATGATAGTTTATTCTTCACATACAGTTTTATGACTGTTTTTCACGTCCTCTTCATTGCATTTTTAACTAAAATTCTATCTCTTCGAGATTCTTCTCTGTCTACATACACATCTAAAGATGGCTGTTAACCGTGTGACTTCATGAACATCTCGAATCATCGCTGCCCAGGCGCGGCGATCTGACGCAAGGTTTTACGACAGGGTTATCCAATTCTCGTTCCACAGACGGAGTCCGTAGACGGTTTGTAGCCCCAGCCCAGTCACTCCATATCAGCCTTGACTAACTGTCCCAAGCCATGTTTTCAGCTGTCCACCCCTTCGACATCGCCAAGATGGAAATGGAAATGGCGAGGGATTTAGAACTGATTTGACCGATCGTCATCTGGTCGGCGCAGAACATCATGGCCAAACCACCGAAGGCGACGTTGTTGGACCAGTACTGGAATTCGGTTGATGTTGTAGCAACGAGAGTTCATGAAGTTTCATGGGAATTAGGTACGAGTGATGTCCCCAGCATTGCTCGGCGTCCTGAATAGAACACACGATTTCAAGCTTGACTTTTAAAGTTTCAGTGGCAATGGTTTGATTTTTACCAGGGGTAGAATCGCTAGCCTCACGATAGCCCAACACCTTCCCTCCTTACCAATCTTTACTACCGGGTTTAGCGTTATCCGGGGATCGAACCTGCTGATGCCACGATGCAGTTACGTCACTTAAACAAACATATATATATATATATATATATCTGTGAATCGTATTTGCACACGTTAAGTCTGCTGTGATTGTCTGGTGATTTCTTCAAGGTTAAGCTTTGTTATTGTTGTTTTTTTCTCATGACCCCGGTTCGGGACGTAAACATTGAGACGTCAGTTGCTGTCTCCAATTTCGTCTTGCAGACAGCTGTTGTCACCACAGTATCTTCAAGATTGCAGTACTTCAAGTTGCCACACACTCTGTCTCTCTATATATCTAGGATACAGAAGCATAGAAAAGAAATTCGAAATAATTATAATAATGAGTAGAGAGATGTATGCGAGGAAGAATAATTACATGTGCACCTGATACAACTAGGAGATTGCAAAAAGCAAATGCATCTGAGCCACTTACAGTGATTCTAAGCTTTGATACTAACAATTTCAGACTGTAAGTTCTTAGCATCCCGATTTCTCCAACCCCCGATGGTTTTGCATATTCCCATTTAGCTGCTTCAAACCAAATGTCGGAGAGACCATGGATTAATTGATTGTTTGATTGATCTGGCTACATTTAACTCTGACAACTAATTGTGTGTTTAAGTAACGTAACTGCATCGCGGCATCTCAGCAGGTTCGATCCCCGGATAACGCTAAACCCGGTAGTAAAGATTGGTAAGGAGGGAAGGTGTTGGGCTATCGTGAGGCTAGCAATTCTACCCCTGGTAAAAATCAAACCATTGCCACTGAAACTTTAAAAGTCAAGCTTGAAATCGTGTGTTCTATTCAGGACGCCGAGCAATGCTGGGGACATCACTCGTACCTAATTCCCATGAAACTTCATGAACTCTCGTTGCTACAACATCAACCGAATTCCAGTACTGGTCCAACAACGTCGCCTTCGGTGGTTTGGCCATGATGTTCTGCGCCGACCAGATGACGATCGGTCAAATCAGTTCTAAATCCCTCGCCATTTCCATTTCCATCTTGGCGATGTCGAAGGGGTGGACAGCTGAAAACATGGCTTGGGACAGTTAGTCAAGGCTGATATGGAGTGACTGGGCTGGGGCTACAAATAGTCTACGGACTCCGTCTGTGGAAAGAGAATTGGATAACCCTGTCGAAAAACCTTGCGTCAGATCGCCGCGCCCTGGGCAGCGATGATTCGAGATATTCATGAAGCCGGCTCATCCTCCCGTATGAGATAGCCGAGGTAAAGAAGAAGGACGGATAAGAATTGGGAAGAAAACTGAATAATATTTAATTATTATCCCAATTTCGCTGTCTCATACTCTCCCTCGTGAACAAAATCCATCAGACAGTCAGTGAGTTCTATTTGGGACTCGTCCAAGGGGGATGTACCTTCATTCCTTTGTGAGTGATAGTGTGTTCCCACTGTGACCCGTACCCAGTGCCCATAGTTTCAAACGTCAAAGCGTTATCCACTAGACTACTTGGGCCACGAAAGCTAGCCACCTCTTGTGCAACGGGTATTAGTAATTATTATTTAATTCAGTTCAGATTTTCCCGTCGATTGATTCAGCTGAGGTGCGCTCGGTCTCAGGCTGACATGTCTCCTTCTTGTTGTGCAGTTGCTTTGACTATGTCTGGCCATGCAACTTGAATGTTCAGGTGCATCCAGCTTGCATGAGTCCCGAATTGGACGAAATGCACGTTATCCTGGATTCCACTGGTAGTCAGCAGACATGACTAGACGTTGTCGAAGCATCTGAACTGCACAAGGAGCCGACATGTCTGTGTGAGACCGACCACTTCTGTCCAATCAATCGACTCGAAAATCTAAATTGGATTAAATAATTATTATTTGTTAAAACTTTCTAATTTCCCGCCTTTATTTTTTTGTTTTACTAAACTGAAATCACTAGTGTTTAAGTTCAAATTTTAATAAATGTCAAGACTATAAACTATGTCTCTTTCTTTCTCTCTCTCTCTCTCACACACACACACACACAAACATTCATTCATTATTTCCTTAGGAATTAAATCAAAAACTCTCTCATATACGATCAGCTAATGTTCCATTTGCAACGAATCCAGTTATCCAAGAACTTCAACTGCAAACATTTCAAGTTGCTCAACAAATTGATGCTCAACAAGCACAACTTAAACATGTGCGTAGTCAAGCTGCTATGCTAAAACAAATTAATCTACCAACGAATTTATTATCATCAGCCTCCTCCTCAGCATCATCATCATCATCTAATAATCCATTGTCATCACACGGTGGTGGTGGTGGTGGTATGACTAGTACTACAACGACACCATTGCTGCCATCACCTTTATCAATGTCTGGTATACCCGGTCAATCGTCGTCTTCAAGTCTACACGGCATATCCCCGTTATCATTGAATTCAACTGGCAATTGTAATTCATTGAATCTGCTGACTACTAGTAATAATAATAATAATAATAATACTAATTCATCATGGTCATTACAAAGTGGTTCAAATCTGGGCGTGAAATCTAATTATCAATTATTGAATAATAGCGGTAATAACAACAACAATAATAATAATAACATAACTAGTGGAATTACTGATAATCATCCTGATTTTAGCCAAGATCAGCCGAATTTCAATATGATGAGTAAGTCAGTTAGTTAATTATTCATGTTTTATTGCCTGTTTACGTGTGTGTGTGTGTGTGTGAACTTTATCCGATCTTGTTTATGTGATCTGATGTGTGTTGACGCATCTCATTTGACATAGGGGATTCGCTTAGTTTCAATTGATATAAGTATAAAATTTGGGGACTTTATTGGTAGAATATAATTCCATTCTAGATAAGATTTTATTTTAAAAAAGCACACAGCGTTACACAATAATAACAATTGATGAGCATGTTTCGAGCACAAATTATTGCCGCTCATAATCGTATAAAGCTACTCACACAACTTTGTTTCCTCATATATAGAGATGTGTGGAATTGATGATTAGGCATTTAAATAAAAAATTAATATAAGATAATGTGCATTCGAAAATAATACTATGAGGCTCTGTAGGCCAAAAGATCCGGTGGACGCAATTAAACAAAATAATATAATTTACAAAATACCTTGCAATGACTGTGAGTTAAGTCAACGACATAGGTCAAACTAGTAGGTCAGGGATAGTCAGATTATCAGAACATAAGAATTTAACTGAGGGAAGAATGGTTGACCCTGAAAAGATAAGTAATTTAGAAAAAAGCTCAGCTATTCTAGTTCACGCATTAACACACAACCACACAATTGGGTGGGATATGGTTAAAATTCTAAAAAGTAATCTAGGTAGGTGGAGAGCGAGACAGGTTGATTACTGAATCCTTGTTCATTGAGTCTACACGCAACATATGCAACAGAAATGACTCAATGCAAATACCAGAAATATGGAAGATATTATTACCACCAGTCAGTCAAATCAGAAGAGGATAATAAATAATCATAAAATTCTATTTCAAATTCAAGCACATCACAACATCCTTACAAGTTACTTATTATGACTATAAAAACACTCGTCTTATTTCCCATCTGATTGTAATTGATCCATAGCACTTATATTATTATTTCTGAATGTACATTAACCTATACTGATTTTTATTCAAATATCTAATCATCAATTCCACACATGCATATAAATGAAGGAAACAAGTTATGTGACTGAGTAGCTTGATATGATTATGATTGGCAATAATTTGTGCTCGTAACATGGTCATCAGTTGTTGTTATTATTGTGTAAGGCTGTGTGATTTATCGAAATATAAAATCTTATCTATAATGCTTGGTTTCAAGTTCGATCACGGATGGATAGCTGTCTGCCACCCGCCACCCCCGTTTGGTTTGAAACTCTTCAACAATACTTACTCATGACTCCATCCATCCATCGGGGTCGAACCCAAGGCTTTTAGGCTGCGAGGCGAGCTCACTGATCATGCGATCCCTGTAGCCTGTAGTAGTTAGTATCCAGTAGCTAGTGAATTCTAACTTTTGTTAGTTTACGATTAATACAGCCAATCAGTAATCTGCTTTATTCCGAAATCGATCCTTATAATACAGCATAGATTTCCCAATTCTCAATATGCCATCTGTCTGTCTGTCTGTTTTCGACATAGAACTTTACACAAATGTGCGGCAGTTCGAGTCGCCACACTCCGTGTAGCACGCGAAGCAAGAGAAGAAAGTACAAGAAAAGCATAATAGAGACAGTGAGCAGAGGTGTGAGACGAAGGAGGAGTAATAACGAAGAACAAAACAGTTTCATTGGAAATCATAAGTCACAAGGAGTGCATACATCTGTGTTAGCCACTGAGAACGATTTTGAGCCATGTCACCAATTGTTTCCAACCATAGATTTTTACCGTCCCGAGGACCCCAGCCTGAAATTCTACACCTTCCAACGTGGCTTAGACCAACTGTTGTAGATTTCATTGACTGGTGAGGCCATGTTTTTGTTTGACCTCCGCTAGGTTTTTTCCAGCCTGACGCTATATCAGCTAACATTGCTCATCGAGGAAGGCGATGACTAGGAATACGTAACACATGTCATAACCATCTCATTTCACAGCCTCGTCGATTGGCTTACCCTCCTTACCTAGCACTCGACGCCTAACCTCAATGTTGCTCACCTTATTATGCCACTTCATACGGGAGATAGAACGCAAGCACTTATGATCAAAGACAGCTAATCTTTTCATGTCTTCCACTCTCAGTGACCAGGTCTCACAACCATAAAGAGGACGGAGCGGACTGATGACCAGTACACCCGACCTTTGGTCGATAGTCGAACATCTCGTCTACGTCAGAGTCGGCGTAAACTGGCGAATGCGAAACTAGCTATCTGTATCCGTACTCAGCTGAGATTTCGTCAGCGATCAACCTGTTGGCGCTGGCTGATGGTACTTCCCAAATAAGTGAAGCGGTCAACGTGCTCTACCAACCACTTCACTTCCTATTTTCAAACTAGTTGCCGATGTAGTCCAGTCCTGTAACATCATCTTGCATTTGGCGGGAGCGAATCGCATCCCAAATATTCGTAGATTGCGGCTCAATATGCCATGTAATTTACTCAAAATATAAATAATATAAACCACAGGAACTTTCCCACTTTTACATTAGGAATAATATCAAAAATGAAATAGAAAGAATAATAACTATAATAATAGTAATTGTAATAATAACAGTGGGTTTGGTTCAAACAATAATATCGATAGCATATGGAAATCTTAGCATGTCGTAGAATATATTGAATCTAATGTTCTCTTGATATATAGTATGGTGAGGGGAGAAACAAAAGATAAACACAGAGCTTAATTGGTGTTTACAATTACAAATATAATAGGAGTGATTTTGGTGTGGTGGTGGTGGTGTTCTCTCATGTAAATAGTTAATTTGCGAAGCTTTCATTGCCCCACAACTAGGCAACAACATCTTCAACGCATGCTTCAATTCGTTGAAGTGAGTTTTTTTTAAGATTTCTCCACGAGTTCACCATTAGTCATCTTCCCTGGTGACCTTGAACGTGATTCGTTGTTTTTGTGTGTTTTCACATCCTCAAAGCTACACTCGTATTGGTTTTATTGTTGATTATTTCCCTGGACCTGAACTTTGAACTTTTGTGAGTGAGATTTCTTTCTTATCAGTTGATAAATTTAGTCTATCTCGATGTGTCTATTGATTGATGATTCCCTGGAATACCAGACAGCCTTCTAAAAATTCTCTAGCATTCTTGTTGTTTCTTCTGTCTAATATTTGAACACTGGTTGTCCCAGTCGATTTGATGTCCGTGATTGTCTGTATGTAGTGATATGAGCGAGGGATTGGATATGTCTTTTGATGGCTAGCTCATGTTCATGGATGTGAAGGCGAAGGGAACTTCCACTTTGGCCAATGTAGTGTTTTTCGCAGTTGTTACAATTTATTTTATACACAATGTTGATTGTATCTTTTTTCGCTGTTGAGTCTTTTGGTTGACATAGAATTGAGTGAAGTGACTTTGTTGGTTTGTGTGTGACATCAATTTCTAAAGTTTTGAAGAGTCTTGAGGTGATTTCTGAGATGTCGTTTTTAAATGGTAGGGCGATTTTATTTTTGCTTTTTTTAGGGCCCTTTTATTTGATAGGTTGGCTTGGGGGTATATGTCTTTTGATGAAGTTACGTGGATATCCATTCTTTTGGAAGTCGTCCATGAGATATTTTTCTTCAATTTTCCTTAAGGTGGGAGTGCTGCAATGAGTCCTGGCTGGCCCTCTTGAATAGTCTTTGTATGCAATTCCTTTTGTGTGTTATTGGGTTGTTACTGTTGTAATTCAGTATTTGGTCTGTGTGAATTGATTTCCTATAAACTTGAGTTTCTAATTCCCCTGGGTTGTTCGCTTGACTAAGACGTCCAAAAATGGGATTTTACCCTCGGATTCCTATTCTCTTGTTAATTTAATGTCGTTGAAGACGTTTTTTATTAGGTTGAATGAGTTTTATCTAACTCGTTTCTTTTGATTATTACAAATGTATCATCCAAATTTGGGGTTTGATCTTCGATAGGATTATGTTGTCGAGCCTTTGCATTATTGCTTCTGCAATCAAACCTGATATTGGCGGTCCCATGGGTTTTCCTTTGATTTGTTCATATATTTGGCCGTTGAATTGGAAGTATGTGGTTAGGCATAGGTTTATGCATTCCATCCGGCTTGTGTGCTGCATTTTTGATTGTTGTGGTAGGTGTTTGTCGTTGCTGAGTAGTTGCTTCATGGTCTCTTTTAGAAGTGATAACAGTAACACTTGGTGGTGTAAGGATGGTGAGAATTGTTGGTTTACTAGTGGTAAGAAGGTTAGTTAGTTCGTGCCCGACACTACCTTCATCACATAAAATACACGCCAAATAGGGTATCGTGGAATCTTTATACTTATGCGTAGGGGCTCGTAAAATGCTTTGAAATGACTTCTTGTTCTACCTGAGGAGATGCATGGTGAACGCTGTGGGCAAAGTCGATACTCACAGTCTGAAAAAATCCCGTTAGCAAATGTGTTGCATGAAATCAAGTGGCTATCAATGACAATGTCAACGATATGGCCCAATGGGATACCACTCATCTACCAGCAGTATTCAGAATTCTACGAAGTATGTGAACAATAAAGAAAAGTCGGTAAACCGTAAGAGGAGGGTGTCTAATTATGCCCGAGTGCTTGAACTTCTTAACATAAAATGTCAGACGGGATATTTCACTAGAAATCGCTTTTCCAAGATACTTAACGCCAGATTTGATTTCTCTGGATCACTATCATCAATCTTGCAACTGTCATGGAAATTAACAGTTTTATTTAACTTTCCTCTACACCTAAAAGTGCAATTAACAGTCTGACATTTGGAAGGATTTAGTTCAAGACCATTAGACAAAGACCATTTGCTGACTGCTGATAGAAATCTGTTCATCTTAGTACAATCTAGTTAGGAGTTAACAGGCATTGAAACATTTAGATCGTCTGCAGACTTTTTTTATTCCTTCACGTTCCCAGTGGAACATAGGGCTTCAAACTAGAGACCAGAAGTTTCTGTAGCAGTGTTTATTTTTACAGGATGAAGTTACTAGCCTCATGCTTAACCTTTCCTATTTACCAGCGAGATAAGGGAGTGCGTCGGCCGGGGTTTGAACCCGGACCATGGGCATGGTCGGTGAGCGTCGTAAACGCTGTGCCACCGACGCACGTCTGCATACTTACCAAAGTTCATTTCATCACGATGAGGCGAGTCATAATCACGAATTATCACCAAGTATTATTATTATATCCTTTAATTCCTAGAGGAACATAGGGCTTCAGCTGCGCGTCTCCATTGCCTTCTGTTTTCTGCCAACTTTTTCACTCCGCTCCAAGTCTGCCCACATGCTTTCATCTCCTCTTCCTCCACATGACCTCCTCCAAGTCACCCTCGCACTGACGACCAACTCGCCACCCGCTTCCCTTTCAGGTTCCTTTCGAGCAACGGCTTGTCTAGTGATGTCACTTGATGGTTTGTTTCCTCAGAGTATGGCCAGCCAATCCATCTCCATTTCCTCCTGCCTATTTTTTTCACAATCGGTTCCCGCTGGGTTGGTTCGCTTATTGCCGGAGATCCCTGTCTGTCGCTGATCTTTTCTGGCCAGCCATCTGATCTTGAGTATTGAGCGAAGACAACTGTTAATGAAGGTCTGAAGTTTGTTTGAGATGCTCTTCATGACGCGCTGGCCAAGTCTCTTATCCGTATCACCAAGTAGGCAACTATATATATATTCAATAGTAGCAATAATGATAGTAATAATAATATGCTTTATTACAAAAACAGTACGTATACTTTGATTGGACACTAGTAGCTAGTGTGGTGTGTCTAGGGCTTTCTTTGTTGCAAACTGAATTCTGTCCGTCAATTGTGTTTGCAATGTGGTCACCATTCTAATATATGAACTCCACTGTGCATCTTGATGACGAGCCACCTAGAATGGTGGACATATTGCACAATTGACTGATAGAATTCAGTCTGCACCAAACAACGGACTAGACACTTTACACTAGTTACTAGTTACCTAGTGTCCAACCAATCATCAAATTGGCCTATACAGTTGTCGTGCAGAAGGTCAATTGTGAGCACGAATAGCACAGTGGTGACGTCTCTCTCTCTCTCTCTCTCTCGATGTGTGACTGTAACACTGGGCGACTCAGGTTAGAATCTCATAAGGGACATGAATTCCTTCAAGTTTGAAGATACGCCTTTGCTGACTGACTGACTGACTGGTGAGTTTCATTAGGCACGAAACCTAGGTGCAAAGCTTCCTTTGGCTGGATTGTGTCCAACCATCTAATATATGGATAGAAATGATGAAGTGCCGATCACCTCTAACAGCAGTACTTATAATACAGCATAGAATTCTCATCGTTTTTTACATTATACTGCATTTCATATACTACTCTACAACAGCACATACATGATAGGGTATAGATAACCAAAACTAATATAATAGCAGCTTTTTTTGATATTAGCAGTGACAATAAATTCAACAGTGTACAAAAAGTATAAAGTGATGATGATGATAATAATAGTAACTAAAATTATAAGATATTTGAAATAGAGAGAGTATCACCATAAATTACGAAAGTAGGCGAAGATGAAGGAGCCATTTATTTTGTTAATTACATAGTAGCAAGCTGTAAGTTTCATGTTTAATACTATCAATCCCTAACACATAGAACATACAGCCGGCCCAGCAAGCCTTCATTTAGTTGTTTTTTCCTTCACGTTCCCAGTGGAACATAGGGCCTCAAGCTAGTGGTTTGAAGTTTCTGTAGCAGGGCTTATTTTTACAGGATGAGGTTGCTAGCCTCATACCCAACCTTTCGTTTTTACCAGCATTATTTCTGGCTCAGTGAGGCAAAGGAGTGCATTTGCCGGGGATCGAACCCCGGACCATGTTCATGGTCGGCGAGCGTCCTAACCACTGTGCCACCGACGCACTTTCTTAGTTGTACAAACATATTTATCCTTCATAATGATTTATAGTCCTTCTTGATGTGAGATGCAAGGCGAGGAGAGTTGTGAATAAAGATATTTATACTGACCTTTAATATCCTTCACATTATTATGACATAGGACTTTTTGAGTAGAGTTATGAGTGATTGGTTTATGTATTCAATCGTTGATCGTTTCTTTATACATAGGTTTCAAACTATACTCATGTGGCGACTGTGAGGTGGTCGATATAGGTAGAAACCGGTGAAACTGATTATCTGACCAACGAATATATATATATATATATATATATATATATATATATATATATTTGCCGCTATTTTCATAATTGTGGTTAGATGTGCTTCTGTCTGTGCTTGAGTGTTGGGTTTAATCGGTTGACGTAACTCTATAACACCTATCGCTTGAAATAAAGTAGTTTCTCCTCAGCCGGATCATAGGTGCCTGCGTTCTATCTCCCATGTGAGTTCTAGGTAAACAGGGGAAATCAATCGAAGAAGTCGTGAAGTTACATAGACTGAGATGGTTAAGACATGTGTTACGTATTCCTAGTCATCGCCTCCCTCGACCGAAGAGCAATGTTAGCGGATATAGGGTCAGGCTGGAAAAGAGCTAGTGGAGGTCAAACAAAAACATGGCCTCACCAGTCAATGAAATCTACAACAGTTAGTTCAAGTCAGCCACGTAGGAAGGTGTAGACTTCCTGATTGATTGGGGTCCTCGGGACGGTAAAAACCAATGGTTGGTAATAATTGGTGACATGGCTGAAAATCGTTCTCAATGGCTAACGCAGATGCATCCACTCCTTGTGACTTATGATCTCCAATGAAACTGTTTTGTTCTTCGTTATTACTATTCCTTTGTCTCACACCTCTGTTTACTGTCTCTATCATGCTTTTCTTATACTTTCTTGTCTTGGCTTGTGTGCTACATGGAGGGAGTGTGGTGACTTGAACTTCCGCACATTTGTGAAAAGTTCTATGTCGAAAACAGACAGACAGCCGGAAAACCTTGTTTCGTTGTGACATAGATAAATCTAGCCGATTAGTCTCAATTAGAATGGAACATATGTCGCCTTTAACAGAGATGTGGCGCATCACATAAAAACATTTCCAACGGCGTGCAGACTATTAGCTGTTTTCGCTCGACACTGAAGATCATAATGACCACAGTCATAAAGGAGAAGGAAGAAGGAACTCTGGCGAAGAGATAACTAAGTTACCTATCACGCTAAAAATCTTCAGGGAGAAATGGATTTAGATTGGACATGCACTGAAAAGACCTTTTAGTGATATCACACTCGCCAGACCGTTGAATCCTACCCGAATTGGGTTGTCTAAGAGTAACACTGAGATCATCTGTGGAGAAGATGAAAACTTATGGGCGATCGTTGAGTCGGCTAAAAAAAGGACTACAAAGGACAGTAGGAAACAGAGGTATGCTTCTGAAGTCCTTTGTTCCCCACGGAACCCACTTCTGTCTTTCTTATGAAGTGGTATAATAGTGTGAGCAATATTGAGGTTAGACATCGGTCGAGTGCTAGGTGGGTAGGTGTGAGGAGAAATCAATCAACGAGGTTGTGAAATTACATCGACTCAGATGGTTAGGACATGTGTTACGCGTGCACGCCTAGTCATTGCCTACCTTGACAACAGTCAATGTTAACTGACATAGGGTCAGGTTGGAAAAGAGCCAGTGTGGGTCAAACCAAAACACGGCTTCATCAGTTAATGAAATCCACAACAGTTAGTTTTAGACAGTCACGTAGGGAGGTGTAGACAAACCGACCGGTCGGGAGTCCTCTGGACGGTAAAATTCAATGATAGCCGGAGACAGTTAATGATATGGCTCAAAGTGGCCAAGTTAAACTTTAAGCACCACTAGAAACCATTGTAGTATGACCGCACCAATCACCTTGAAACGTCCACTGACCAAGTTAGTGAAACCTGGCAAGTAATGTTTTCATGATTCATAAAATGTGCTCATCGAAGTGTCATGCTATTAAATGGGGTATCTGGCAAGTTTCAGCTTAGGTTTGGGAATGATTAAGTTACGCTTTAAGCCAAGGACAAGTTAGGGTTAGGTTGACCCAATAGAAGGTGATATTAGGGTTGGTTAGAGTTCGATTACAGCTAGTTTAGGAATATTTTCACGTTAGAGTTAGACGACCTAAATCATTGCATGCACAGAATGTGGTTGAATTATTCTGTTGATGTAAGAATAGAACTTGTGCACTGTGGTAGAGTAAAATTCCATTGTGGGTAAAATTTATTTTGATAAAATCTCACAGTGTTATACAGTAGTAATTACTGATGACGTTTCGATCACAATTTATTGCTGAGGAATTATTACTGTATTATACTATGAGACTTTATCAAAATAAATTTTGCCCACAATGGAATTACACTCTGTCGATACTCCAACCTAAAACTGAGAGCTATTTTTATCACATGTGAGAGCAAAGTATCCTCTGTAATACTTTTCCACGGTTTTATGCACCTTTTTCATAAATATATGTGTAATCCTTCACGTGAATGGTGTGTTCGAGGTCATTTGCTGATGATTGGTAGTTAGTGGTGCTTACAATTTAACTTTGCCCTCAAAGTGATCATTATTCTCAATTTCTAACGCAGATGCATTCACTCCGTGTGATTTACAATATCCGATGAATCTTTATTGTTCTTTGTTATATTACTCCTTCCTTTAGTCTCATATCTCTGTTTACTGTCTCTATTTTGCATTTATTTCTTTTTTACTTTCATCAATGGCTTTGTGTGCTACATAGAGGGAGAGGGGGGCAACTGGAACTGCTGCACATCGGTGCAAAGTTCTATGTTGGAACCAGTCAGTCAGGAACTCAAGGGAATAATAATAACAAATAATATGTCGTAGATTCACTTAACTGCCAACCCTCATCATCAAATAATATCCATTATTTGTTGTGATAGCATTATTTTACTTTACTTTTGTTTTTCGTTGATTTATTTTTAGATTCACTCTTGTGGGAATCTAGCCCATGGTCAGGATCATCCAGTCAACAACAACAACAACATCTTAGTGAAAGCTTTTCCACTACTAATCGAAATCATCTGTCGAATGATAGACGTTGGCCACTACCCCCAGGTGCTGGTAGTGGTGTTACCGGTAACGGCAATAATTCCTCCATATCATCATCATCATCTGTGAATCGATCACCATTCATATCTTCACAACTTGCATCACTTGGTGATCCTAGATGGAGTGATATTACTAATGATATGAGTAGTAATTCAACAGGTAATAATGATACAAGACAACAATCTCTTGTTAGCGGTGAATTGGATGAACCACTACGCAGTTATGGCGGCGGCGGCGGTATAGACTATCCATTAATTCCAATATCTATTTCATCAAAATCCTGGTTACTAGCGCATAACATTCCTCCGCATGTATCTGTTGGTATGCTAAAAGCAACAGTGTCAACTGCATTGAGTAATCACTTGATGAAATCATTAGAATCACATGACAAATCATCCGGTGATAATAGTAGAAATAATAATAATACTGAACCTGAATTTGAAATTCATCCAAATATGTCAGCTAGATGGATATTATTAGGCTTATGTAATTCACTGCAAGCTTCAATTGTTCATAAAAGTTTAGAAAATGCAAATAATAATCAATTAAATGGTTATTATGGTGCAGTGAAATTGATTACACCAGCTGAAGCACTTCTCCACTTACAAGATATTCAAGTAAGTTAAACAGAATTAGATGAACATTGTTCTTTTAATTTTTTTTATTTTGTTTATTTTGTCTGTTACGCCGCCAGTGTTCTTTTATATGCATTTGGGGTCATTGAATTCCTCCTTCCTAAGTGGTTGAATGTACAACAGGTGGGCTTCATACTCCCTAAGTCCTGGGTTCGATCTTTGCCGGGGGTCATGGATGGACGCTATTGATGAGTTTCAAACTGGGACGAAAAAACTAACCAATACTCCGTAGTCTACAACGATTGTCTAATTGATGTTGGTTCGTGAAAAAAAAAACTATGCTAGAATTAATCTAAATCCTTTGAAAATCCATAATCTTAATGTCAATCTTCAGCTCATTGGTGCCTACTGAATGAATATCCTATTGTTGAAATGAGAAGTTGTAGTTAACGGGGTCCACCATAATAAGGTAAAGTGGACGCTGGTCGGTGGCGTTGGTTGACGGTAGTGATATATCATGAACTGATAGAAACTAGAAATTCACGGATAGTTGAATTCCTTCCTAAAGAGACAATGTTCTCAAGCCTCGTAAATCTTGGCTTCGATCCTTGGCGAGGTCATGGGTAGACCCTCGTGAGGAAATTCTGACTGGGCCGAAACACTTGTTCAATGCTCTGTGGTTTTCAATGATTCTCTGACTGATCTTGGGTTTGTGGCAAAATCTACATTGAAATCTTAAATATTAGATACTTGGTTCATTGCAGGTGAAGCAACTTGACTTCCAGTTGGAGGGTTCGTGGGTTCGTAACCATTTCCTTCAGTTTCCTCCTTTACCTCGCTAAGCCAGTAGTGAGACTGGTGAAGAGGAAAGGTTTGGCATGAGGCTAGCAACCCCATCCTGTAAAAATAATCACCACTGCTACAGAAACTTCAAGCATCTAGCTTGGAGCCCTTTGTTCCACTGGGAACGTGCAGGAAAAATTAATTAAATTAAATTAGTGAACACTAGTAGATGATGATTCATTTTATTGTCCTATATTTTTGTTGCTGTATATGTGGACATGTAGGTCGTTGGCTTTAATACATTCAGCTTTTAATTGACCATAATCTCTCATCTCCTCCTTGCTACATGTTCTACACCATGTCATCGTCGCACCAAAGACCCACTCGGCATTTCCTATTCGGGTTCTATTCGAGCGATGGTCGCTCTCAATGGCTGGTGCAGATACATTCACTCTTTACAATTTATAATATCTAATAATGTCGTATTGTTCTTCCATATTACTATTCTGTTTGCCTCATGTCTCCGTTTGTTATCTGTCTTTCGAACCTCTCTTTACTCTTTTCTCTTGCCTTGTGTGCTGAATGGAGGGAATTGCGGTAAGTTGAACTGCTGCGCATCTGTGCCAAGTTCTATGTTGAAATCACTCAGTTAGTCAGTCAGGAGAAAGAGAGAGTGGCTTTGTTATTTGTCATCTAGTGAATGAATACTTACTTTACTTTACTTCGGCTATCTCCTACTGGAGGATGAGCCGGCTTCATGAACATCTTGAATCATCGCTGCCCAGGCGCGGCGATCTGATGCAAGGTTTTGCGACAGGGTTATCCAATTCTTGTTCCACAGACGGAGTCCGTAGACGGTTTTTAGCCCCAGCCCAGTCACTCCATATCAGCCTTGACTGACTGTACGAAGCCATGTTTTCAGCTGTCCGCTCCTGAGACATCGCCATGATGGAAATGGAAATGGCGAGGGATTTAGAACTGATTTGACCAGATCGTCATCTGGTCGGCGCAGAACATCATGGCCAAATCCCCGAAGGCGACGTTGTTGGACCAGTACTGGAATTCGGTTGATGTTGTAGCGACGAGAGTTCATGAAGTTTCATAGGAATTAAGTACGAGTGATGTCCCCAGGATCGCTCGGCCTTTTGTTTGAGAGTGCAGCTCTAGCCTTTACACAACGAAGTGTGACCTACAAGGCAGTAGGAGTGGAGTAGGGAGTCCACTATCCATTGTCAGCCAGCCGGTGACCGGAGTCCGGTTCATACGCACTTTTGAATGTAGCCAGACATCCAGGGCATCCAATAAGCCCTTTGTCCATATGTCTTCCGGTGAGCACTGATGAGCTTCATACGCCAGTCGTTGGAGGTTTGGAATCAGGGTTTAGCCATCTCCCCTAGACTGTCATCCAATGGACAGTCAACCCGGTGAAGAGTTCCGGGAATCCGCTTTTGGCCTCACACTTCGGTGACAAACACCTCCGCCACGTGAAGGCAGTGAGTAGGACTTCCTCAGGAGAGGCTATGTAAGACGCCCGGTCATATGGGAGCATTTGAAGAGGTGGTCGACCCGCAGGGCAAGGCACCCACCCCCGACCTTCCTGAGGCTTTGGAGGCAAATACTTACAAATACGCTGAACCCTCTTTAAATAAACATCTCTTATACTGTAGTAAAGCAAAATTGGGAAAATTTAAGAATGGCCCTGTCCAAGTAGGCTTTCTCCATATGTATTATTACTCTTATAACCTACCTTAGTAATCCTCATTTGACCGGATAACCAAACGTTGTGTTATTTAATTATTCTCAAATCCTTTTTGTCCCTTTTTGTCTATTTTAATTGGCCTTTTCTCACTTTTCATAAAAACTCACTTGACGAGTCAATGTATGTGTGAGGGATCAGACAGACTGTGTTCGAAATGTATTCCGTAAATACATCACATAATTTTTTTCAGATATTCTCGCCGTAAACTGTGTAAATTGCGAATTTGATTCATGGTATCTCACGAGTTCGCCCAAGTGTAGTTAGGAGCCGAAAATCGTTATGGTGTGAAAGTTTATTGGGCTCTCTGAGTTGAGTTGAACGGCGTATACTGCTGATGACGAACTCCGCTGCAAATGAGCAAAATAGCCATCCGGTGTTCGGCATTCCGTCGATCTGGCCAGCTATAGTTAACAAGCGCTAATGATTGATGTGTGAGAGGGATGCGCAACTATACTCATCTCAATCAAACAATAGTATGTAGCGGCATGCGTATTTGCTGTGGTTGTTATTATAGCATAGTCCGACTTTTGTTTTATTGTGTCTAAGTAAATTTGTCTATGGCCTAATATTTTACCGTCTTTCCCCACCCCCCGTCTCTCTCTCTCCTTTAGTCTCTAGCTTCACGATTGAAAGGTTTGAGTACGGATAACTGTCTCTCATCGGTATCATCCAATCTTCATTGCATCAATCAATCGTCAAGTATATTGACAGGATGTGATTTCAATAATAATAATAATGATATTTCTGGATCAAATTATTCAATGATCGGATCAAATACTGCAAATAACAACAATAATACTTCAGATATCTAAAAATTCAAATCTTTCACTCAAAATTCTTGTGATCATATCTCACTTGTGTGTATGTGTGTGTGGGTGGGTGGATGTACGTTTTTACATGCACGCGTGTGTTTTTTGATGACTACTGACTGACGACAACTGGTCAATCATTTTCGCCATGCCGCCTTCGAACACATCCACGACACTGTTGTTGTTGTTATATACATTGTGTGCGCGCGCGCATTCTGTGCACACTATTATGTGGTGGTGTGATTATCATTGCTCGTATTACTATCATCGTTATTACTATTCTTTGTCGTTATTGTTATTGTGTTTATTCTGTTATTCCCCTGCCCCCACTTCATGTAAAGCATTTCAAGTGTTTTAGAGGAGAAGAGATGAATCTTTTTCACAAAAAAAAGCGGATATGTGAATATATCTCACAAAGTTATGCTTTATGTGAATATCATTATTATTATTAGTAGCAGTAGTGTGATTCAATGGCAGTCATGTAAGTGTTATGTTGTTGTAAAATGCCCCGTCTAACACACACACACACATACACATACATACATACATACAGAACACAAGATTCAACAGAACCCTTGAAGAATATGTTGTTTCCCCCCTCACACACACACCCACACCCAAACAATCACATATACACACAATAAAGAAGTGTAAATAGAGAAAGTATGCACAAAAATACGAACACACACACACCCATCTACCCCAGTTTTCATATCCTCATCAGTGGATTTATTTATTTATTCATTCAAAAATTAAATAATTGAACAACCTGTCCATTTTCAGTATCTTTCTTTTATCATAATATTTGTCAATCTTTTAATGGGCATCTTATATCCCCCTCCCACACACACACACACACACACGTACTCACAAAATAAATGCGGAAATAAAGAGCGAACAAAGTGAACAGCTTCTCTCAACTTTCTTTCTTTTGTTGTACACGCATATCTATACAAAAATAAAAAGGGGGGAAGAATTATTGTATGTGACGTAATCGTTTATGTCTCGTTTGTTCATTCATTGATTTATCCGTTCTTCTGTTTCATCGATTGTTTAATTTTATTTTGGCTATCATTATTTTTGAGTTAGTTTTAATCTATTTTTATTTTTTTCCCTCCTATATAATTATATTGATGATTACTTCTCATACTTACATGTGTGTATATTGATTGGTGTGCTCAGTTGCGTTTTTCCCTTTTTCTGGCACACATGTATTTGTGTGTCTCTGCGTCTGTGTGTGTGAGAGAGAGTGAGTGAGTGATTGTGGAGATCAGTTTCTCATATCTGTGTTAATGTTTATCATTACTGCATTATTATTATTAATATTATTATTATTATCATTATTATTACTATTATTACCCTGTGTGTTTGTCATATCTCGTTTCCACAAAATAGTAAAGCTTTGGACAACTATTGCAGCATTACCATTCTCCTCTCCCACCTCTCTTCTGTCCTTTCATATCTCTTCTCGTTTTGGTGTGTGCGTGTGTGCACACACGTTTGTTTTTGTATTTGTCTGGCTATTTTTCTATCCCTTATTTTATTTTATTTATATCGTAATCTTGTCGTATATAATTTTACATTTAAACAAAATGACTAATGATTCATAGTTTAGTGGATCACAGTTATTTTTAGATAATAATAATTATAACAAACGGGGATAAAAAAATAGTTTGCGATGGCCTATATCTCTGGAGACTAGCGTACTCCGCCCCGCCCCGTCCCGTCCCGCCCACACACACACACATACACTGTCTGTTGACAACTATTCTCGCTACTGAGACAATTTTTTCGCTAATATTCTTTGTTCTACAGTCATTTGTGTGGATTTGTGTGTGTGCGGGTGTACAACCGCACACACACACACAGAGAAAGTAACGAGTTCTTCACTTCTCTTCCTATCATCATTTTTGTTAGATTAATGCCCTTTTTGCATTCATTTCCTTTTAATTTGATGTAATGAGTGTCTGTCTGTCTATCGGCTTGTTGGTGTTCACACTGACTCAATGTATCTTCAAACAGACTTACTTATGTGTAATGTTTCTTTTATATTCAAATTATTAATAATAATAATAATAACAATAATAATATGAGAAATTCCAATAAACCCATTTCAAAAAGTTTATCCAAAACTTTCTGTTTTCATCTGTTCTATTGTTGTTGTTTTTATTGATTTTTCTACTCCCGCCCTCCCCCTCCCTGCCTACCATATACTACTTATATACATGTATAATAAGTAATATGCCACCGAAACCTGTAATATCATGATTTACTGTTATTATTATTATTATCTTGATTTACTGTCAGGCCTATGCTTTCCATTTCTAGTTATGTGTGTGTTACTCTGGTGTTGTTGTTGTTTGTGCCATTAATCATATTTTTTGTTTTATTTTTTTAATTTACTCACTATTATTATTATTATTATTATTATCTCCAGTGTTCTCACCCCCCTCTCTCTCCCTCTTCCTTTACAATATGTATATGTACATATAATAGAAGAAAGTAAAAAAGTAAAACTTGTGCCTTTATTATAATAATAATAATTATTATTATTATTTTATTCTTTGAAATACATGACATAATCGAATGTAGTTTACTACCTGAATTGACGACGACAGTACACACTCTGTTGTTGTTGTTCTGTATTGTGTGTGTATGTGTCTCTGCAGAGTTCCTTTGCTTTTTTTCACTCATTCATTATGTAACCATAACACAGCATCATCAACAGAAGCACCACCAGGAGTCGCCAGTTGTAATTGAAGTTTTTGCAACCATATACACAGACATATATACATACATTTTCTCACTACCTCTATGATTAGACTTGTTTATTGTATTTCTGTGCATCGCTGACAGTTAAATTCACACACACACACTTACACGTATGCATGCACGCACACACTGACAACCATTTGTGTGTGTGTGTGTTTATCTATTGAAGTTGCAGGAGGTGTACTCAAAAGCACATACATGCACACACAGACAGACAAGTATATATTCCATAATATATACGTGTGTGTGTGTGTGTAGAATGATTATTTTCTCCTCTTTTTCTTCTTTTTTGCCCGCAATTGTTTTCCTTAAACAGTAGTACAGTACATTAAAAGGGTGGATGAGAGTGGTGGTGAGAAAGTCCTTTGTGTTGTCAATGGTGAAGATTATTATTGCCTGTCTGTCTGTCTATCTCTCGTGTATTCCTTTTTCTGTTTTCTTTCTACACACAGTCATCGTAGTCAGTCGGTCAGTGTGGTGTACTCTTTCTTCCTGAAAACTTGTAAACATTCAAATTGATTTATTTATTTTGTTTTTCCTGTGAAGGATATCATCATCATCACCCTTACACATTTTGTTTTCCTATCGATCATATGATCACAGTATATACTGTGTGATTTACGTTTTATGCTTGTGTGGAACATTATTACTAGTATTATTATTATTATCGTTATGATTATTATTATTATTATTATGATAAGTCATAATTTGTAGCATTTCTAAAACAATAATAATAACACTAACAGTTTACACTAAACATTACACTGAAACATATGACTGACTTATTGCTTTTTATTTTTTTTTTGTTTTGGTCGTTTATTTTGCCTTCAAATTAAACGCGCTCTTGCTCGCTCGCTCGTTGGCTGGCGTGCGCGTGCGTGTGTTTTAAATTCCCTGTTTTTTTTTCTGTTGGTGTACGTATGTATGTATTTGTGTTCCATTCACCATCCTCTCCCATGTCGTTTTGTTTTGTTTTTTGTTTATCTTTCCTGTTTTCGTTTTGTTTTGTTTTAGTTTATTTGTTCATTCAACACAAACAAAATAAGTATTGCACAGTAAATTTGTACGCGTGAATTGAATATATATATGCATATACATATACATAGATTCTGTTAGTGAGATTTTGTGTGTTCCTTCATTTGCTTTATACAGTGTATACTACTGAATGGGTATTATGTATACATGTGTATATGTTCCAACTGGTCGGATGTTGAGGATACAAATACTTGCTTACAGGGGTGTGTGTGTGTGCTAAAATCATGTCCGTCTGTTTTCGACACAGAACTTTGCACCGGTGTGCGGCAGTTCAAGTCGCCACACTCCCTCCATGTAGCACACAAAGCAACAGAAGAATGTAGAAGAAATGCATATTAGAGACAGTAAACAGAGATGTGAGACAAAGGAATAGTAATAAAGAAGAACAATATAGTTTCATTGGAAATCATAAGTCACAAGGAGTGGATGCATCTGCACCAGGCATTGATAACGATCACTTTGAGCCATATGACCAATTGTTTCCAGCTGTCATTAGCTTTTACCATCCAGAGGACCCCAAACGGTCAGGTTGTCTACACCTTCCTACGTAACTGCCTTAAACTAACTGTTTTAGATTTCATTGACTGATGAAGCCATGTTTTGGTTTGACCCACACTGGCTCTTTTCCAGCCTGACCCTATGTCAGTTAACATTGACTGTTGTCGAGGAAGGCGATGACTAGGCGTGCACGCGTAACACATGTCCTAACCATCTCAGTCGATGTAATTTCACAACCTCGTTGATTGATTTCCCCTCCTTACCTAGCGCCCAACGTCTAGCCTCAATATTGCTCATATTATTATACCACTTCACACGGGAGATAGAACGCAGCCACCTATGATCAAAGACGGCTAATCTTCTCATGTCTTCCACTCTCAATGCCCAGGTCTCAATTACAGGCATAAAGGAGGACATAGCGGACTGATGGCCAGTGCACCCACCCTTTGGTCGACAGACGGATATCACATCTACTCCAGAGGCGGCGTAAACTGGCATATCCCGACCGAAAGCTGCTACCTTGACGTGGTGGTCGGGCTTGAACACCGCAATGACCTAATCAAGCTATACTGGCTGAGACTTATGTCTCTTGAGGTTCTACCATGCCAGGCAGGTTGTTTGGATAGCGGTTAAACAAAAAGCAGCTACCCAATCCAATATCATGTCCAAACAAATTCACAAAATTTCATGCCGGATCG